CTATTTGCCGTCTTTTTGTTTATAAAGATTTTATTTACTTAGTTATTTAAGAGTCACACAAAGAGAGAACCTAGGCCGAGAGAGGGAGAAGCAGACTCCCTGCTGGGCAGGGAGCTCCTCACAGGACTCGATCCCAGGACCCTGAGATCATGACCTGAGCCGAAGGCAGAGGCTTTAACCCACTGAGCCACTCAGGCGCCCCAGTTTTTTCCCTCTTTAAATGTTTCCGTATTTGTTATCAGACTATTTTTATGGAGCAGGAAACGCAAGTGGCCGATGAGGCAGATCTCTGATGGATGCGGAGGTTACCAGGCGGCTGGTTCTGAGCCGCAGCAATGTTGCTTCAAGAAAGAGGGAATATCCTGAAGAGGGTTTGGGGCAGCCTGGCACGCACCCCTCAGGACTGCCCACCCCCCCCCCCACCGCCCCGGAACACCCACTCCCAGCCAGGTGTGGGGTGAGGGCAAGGACGTGGGGGGCGGGGCTTAACTGCAGAAGCAGCAGGATGGCTTCTGTTGGGTAGGAGGTACCTAGGTTGCCAGTTAGGGAGATTAGCTGGCCTGTTTGATTCTTCCAGTTTCGTTTAGATCGGCTCTTCCTGTCCTATTATTAACTTGCTGAAAGGAAGTCAGGCACTGAACTATGGCTTACTGCGTTGTTGCAGAAGCCACAAAAGCATTCTGGAAGACCTCACTCAGGTTAGAAATAGATCCTGCTTGCTTGACATGTGAGGCTTATCTTTCCATATGAGGATCTCCTCCTCTTCCTTCCACACCTCTCCTCCCTCTTCTTTCTTGTCCTCCTCCTTGTCGTCTCCCTGCTCCCCTCCTTAAAGCCCCCATTCACCCTTTTCTCCTGCCCCAAATGCACCAAGAATTTCCTAGGCAGAGAGGGGTCCCTGAGCATCGGTGGTTCTCAAGCAAGGGCAGTTTTGCTCCCCAGGGACATTTGGCAATATCTGAAGACTTTTTTTTGGTTTGTTTGTTTTGTTTTAAAGATTTTCTTTTCTTTCTTTTTTCTTTTTTTTTAAGACTTTATTTATTTATTTGAGAGAGAGGGACAGTGAGCGAGAGCATGAGCAAGGAGAAGGTCAGAGAGAGAAGCAGACTCCCCATGGAGCTGGGAGCCCGATGTGGGACTCGATCCTGGGACTCCAGGATCATGACCTGAGCTGAAGGCAGTCGTCCAACCAACTGAGCCACCCAGGCGTCCCTTATTTATTTCTTTGATACAGAGAGAGATCACAAGTAGGCAGAGAGGAAGGCAGAGAGAGAAGGGGAAGCAGGCTCCCTGCCGAGCAGAGAGCCTGACTTGGGGCTCAATCCCAGGACCCTGAGATCACGACCCAAGCCGAAGGCGGTTGACTTAACCCACTAAGCCACCCAGGCGCCCCGGAGACATTTTTGATCATCATAGTTTTGTGGATGGAGGGACGCTCCCGGCATCTAGCCACAGATGCTGCCACATATCCTGTAGTGCGCAAGATGGCTCCGTCCCTCAGAGAATTTTCTGCCCTAAACAACAGTAGTGTGAGGGTCAGAGCCCCCTCCCCGCCCCCTGCCATGTTCTCCTTTCATGTCCCCTTCTGTGGTGTTTCTAGTTGTTTTTCCTAATTTTCAGATTCCCCCAACCCCCTTCACAGCTCTTTGCATGAAAGAGAAGTTATTTTGACCTACAGAGAATGTTCTCTGAGAGGATCACTTCATCATTAGGGTCTCTCCTCACCCCGCATTGTCTTACATAGGGCATCAGGGCGAGGAAAAGTTGGGTTGTCATAACCTAGTGTTGTCATCTGTTAAGTGAGACTAGTAGTGTCTATCCTGAGTACCTCTCTGGGGAGTTGTGAGGATAAAATGAAGAGAATGTATGAGAGTATGTTGAACACTTGGGGAGAAAATTGTAATGGTGTTACTCTCTAGAAACCCAAGTATAGAGCCTGTATCTGAACTGAACCAGGGAAATAACTGGGCTCAGGAATTACGCAGTTGCCCTTAAAAGTCTTAGTTGTTGGCACAGCTGGGTGGCTCAGTCGGTTAAGTGTCTGCCTTCAGCTCAGGTCATGATCCCAGGATCCAGCCCCACATCAGGCTCCCTGCTCAGTGGAGAGCCTGCTTCTCCCCCTCCCCCTGCCTGCTGCGCTCCCTGCTTATGCTCTCTGTCAAATAAATAAAATCTTAAAAAAAAAAAAAAGTCTTTGTTGTTTTCCTAGTAGAAATGAGAGTAGGGAGGCTTCGAAGGATGGATTAACAAGGATCTGCTAAGGAAGCATCTGGGAGGCTTGATAAAAAGGAGTGTAGAAATAGCAGGCATTTCGAGAACCTTAAAACCTCATAATAAAAACCAGAACAAGACATGACTGCTTGTAATCTTGACCATTCTTTCCCATTATCCTGGGGAGGGGGTACCCCAGGATAAAATAAGGGCCCCATTAAAATAAAAGGGAAAAGAAAAGGAGTGTAAAAATACTAGAGAGGAACAGACAAAACTGATGTTGCTTAGAGCAGATCTTTTTAATCAATAAAATGTTAGAGCTGTATATACCGGAGGTCAGGCTTAAAAAGTCTAACCACATTTCTAGGTACCAACAATGACTACTTAGAAAATGGAATAGAGAACGATCCCATTCATAGTGTCAACAAAAATTAGGCAGCTGTAACCAACATATGAGATCTTTGAGGAGGAAACGGTAATGTTTTGCTGAAGGACAGGACAGGAAGAAAAGCTTACTGTCAAAAGATAGGTCCTGTGGTTGTGGCTGAGCCATTATCCCTGGAATCAAGCTCAAAGAGGGTTGAGTAACTTTCTTAAAGTTGCACAGCCAGTTACTGGGTCATTTTGATGCTTACCACCAGAATTAATTTTCCTTTCTTTCTTTCTTTCTTTCTTTCTTTCTTTCTTTCTTTCTTTCTTTCTTTCTTTCTTGACTTTCTGTCTTTCTTTCTTGACTTTCTGTCTTTCTTTCTTTCTTGACTTTCTGTCTTTCTTTCTTTCTTGACTTTCTGTCTTTCTTTCTGTTTTTCTTTCTTTCTTTCTTTTTTTTTTTTTTTTAAAGATTTTATTTATTTATTTGTCAGAGACAGAGGGAGAGAGAGTGAGCAAGCACAGGCAGACAGAGAGGCAGGCAGAGGCAGAGGGAGAAGCAGGCTCCCCGCCGAGCAAGGAGCCCGATGTGGGACTCGATCCCAGGACGCTGGGATCATGACCTGAGCCGAAGGCAGCCGCTTAACCAACTGAGCCACCCAGGCGTCCCTCTTTCTTTCTTTCTTTAGTAGGCTCCAGGCCAAGTCAAGAGCCCAGTGTGGGGCTTGAACTCAAAACCCAGAGATAAAGAAAGACCTGAGCTGAGATCAAGAATTGTATGCTTAACTGGCCAAGCCACTTACTTGCTTCCAGAATTTCTTTTATTTTTTTAAAGATTTTTTTTTTTTTTAAGATTTTATTTATTTGTCAGAGAGAGAGCACAAGCAGGCAGAGCGGCACACAGAGGCAGAGAGAGAAGCAGGCTCCCTGCTGGATAAGGAGACTGATAGGGAACTCGATCCCAGGACCCTGGGATCATGACCTGAGCTGAAGGCAGCCGCTTACCCGACTGAGCGACCCAGGCGTCCCTCTTTTCTTTTCTTTTCTTTTTTTTAATTATTTATTTTATATATTTGAGAGAGATGGAGGGGCAGAAGGAGTAGGAGAGAGAATCTCAAGCAGACTCCACGCCGCGTGTGGAGCCCAGTGCTGGGCTCCATCCCATGATGCTGGGATCATGACCTGAGCTGAAATGAAGAATGGTATCCTTAACAGACTGAGCTACCCAGGTGCCCTCCCTCAGCTTCAGAATTAATACTTTCTTTCCTTTTCCTTTCCTTTCCCTCCCCCCTTTCCTTTCCTTTTTTAGATTTTATTTATTTGAGAGAGAGCATGATCGAGATAGAGCACAAGCCAGGGGGAGAGGCAGAGGGAGAGGCAGAGGGAGAAGCAGACTCCCTGCTGAGCAGAGAACCAGAACTCTGAGATTGTGGCCTGAGCCGAAGGCAGACGCTTAACCAACTGAGCCACCCAGGCAGCCCCAGAATTTTTTTAGAGTACTTCTTAAATCTTCTATTTGTTAATGATTTCCAGTAGATATTTTCCTGATGATTTTCTTTTGAGTGATCTTAGGCGTTCAGAATGTGGGTTTGCTGGATTCTATAATGCATCGTTAGGGAAACATTTTTCTTGATATTCTGGAGCAGGAAGGGGTTTTGCTTCCCATGAATTGGCCACTTGTGTCATCTTTCTGCTATTGGTGATTCTGAATAGGAGATCTAGCACCTCTGCAAATATGAGGACCTATCTTGTTGAAGATTATGGCTTCAGGAAGCCTCTGGTTGGCTCAGATACTTTATGTGTTGGGCGTAGAGTAAAAAAAAAAAATGCCTTTTTTGTGGGGGTGTGTGACTCAAATCCAATTGACCTATTCTCCCAGAGCCTGTTGAAATAATCCTGGGGTGAATGCCCATAGTTTAGTTGGCTTTGTTTTGGCTTCATTTGTTGGTCTATCAGTAATGGCAGCACTGAATTCAATGCATATGTTCTGTCATCCCATTGACTCCCAACCCAAATACCACGGTGATAGGTATTATCATCCCCATTTTACAGATGAGAAAGTTGAAGCTGAGAGGTGGAGATTTGCCCAGGGTCATGCAGCTGGTAGAGCTAAAATTTGAACCTGGGCATGCCTGGGTTGTAGCCATTGTATTATTCTGCTGGTGCAGCCTCTGAACTCTTAGACACCAGCTTTTCAATCCATGGTTTCTGAAAATAGAAGAGAGGGAGAGGAAATAAAAATGTGTAGTATGTAATGACCTATAGACTGTGTATTTAGTAGAGTAACCCAAGCTAGCTTGTTAAGGGATGTGTGGAATGCTGTGATGTTCTTTTGTTGTTATTGATGTATTTGTTCAAATTCCTTTTGAGAATGCACATTTGTTTTGAAACCAAACCTGTCTTTCTTGCCTACATTTCAGTCAGAACTAAGACATGGTCCGTTTTACTATATGAAGCAGCCACTCACCACAGACCCTGTTGATGTTGTACCGCAGGATGGACGGAATGATTTCTACTGCTGGGTTTGTCACCGGGAAGGCCAAGTCCTTTGCTGTGAGCTCTGTCCCCGGGTTTATCACGCTAAGTGTCTGAGACTGACATCGGAACCAGAGGGGGACTGGTTTTGTCCTGAATGTGAGGTTAGTTCCTGATGAATGAATGCATTATCTGCCTCATTTCCTTTCCTTTCTCTTTCTTCCTTTCATTTTAAATTTTTTGAATAATCCAGATTCCGGGGGAAAAAAAGGCATTTCTTGCCCTCCACTTGCTCTATCCTGGTCACCCCCTTTTGGGACCAGCTTTGGCGGGGGCCTGAGCGTTGCTCCTCTCGCAAAGGCTGTTGGACTGAGTGTTGGTTTTCTTTCTTCCTGGGTCTTTGGATCACTCTGGGATATGCAGCCTTCTCTGATGCTGCTGTAACGAACATCTCCGAAGTCCGCTTAAGAGCTGTTAACCGTTCACGTATTCTGAAACGATCGCATGCTGGGTTTCCTCTTCTTGGATGTTGTCTCCTGCTTGCATCGTGGAATCATCGGCGGGAACTGGGTTGAGAAGAACAGCTTGGGTTGGTTGCTTCGTGTGGCTGTCATCTGATGCTTCCGTTCATGCTACAACTGTTTTCTCGAGTGCCCGGGAGGTGCTAGGGACCCGGCCGTGAACAGAAAGGGGTACGCGTGACCTGCTATTCAGGAGAAGAGGACCAAAACCAAATAAAATGAATTGGAGAGGAGGAATTGGGAGTAAGGCGGGGCGAGGGTGTTTCTGTGTCAGGTGAAGAGGACCAGGACGGCCTCAGGAAGACTTGAGAAGTGCGCTCTGCCGCCTTCCAGCCAGTAGGCAGCAGGCACAGCCCGAGCAGAACCGCGCCGACTTGGTGAAGAGCGTGTGCCTTTTGTAGGAAAGCCTAACCGTTTTCCTTTATTAAAACAATTATTCCCGTTTCCACAATTCTGAGGCATCTTCCATTCTTGGCGACTTCCAGTGACACGCTTTCGCAAGATGCTGCAAATGATGTCATCTGCGCAGTCATTTAATGGGGAATGTCACTTGGATTCGAAGGTCTCTTAGAACTTGATCTCACACGAGGAAGCTTTCTGTGTGCGAAATGGAACATTCCCCCCGATGTCTTCTCTCCCTTTCGTGAGGAGAAGAAGCAGGCTATAGGATGGTGTCTGTGGTGCTGCTTTTGTGTTGGGAAAGGAGAAAAAGACGAACTGTGTGAAAAGAGATGAGACATCCCATCGATATGATGACATTTTAATGGTGTTCTGCCCCTAAAATTGAGGAAGATGGCCTCCAGTGCTCTGGGATACTTGGTGGAGAGACGCATAGGTGCCCCTTTGCTCAGCGATGCCCTCTGGTTGCAGAGTTTCACCTGATGCCGCTACAGTTAGTGTGGTCCATGGAACCTTCCTCGGTTTCCTTTTGTCTTGACCCACCTTTCCCACTGTTGAGTAATTTTGCAGAAACGACAGTGGCTTTTGCTGCTGCAAGTACAGCTCTTGAGGGTTGTGGCGGGAACAGTAGGGATTTATTGTCCTGTGTAGAGAGAACCCAGAGGCAGGGCCAGGCCAGAGTTTGTGCACAGCCGGACCCTTTCTGTTTCACTGTGGAGGCAATGTGTGTCCCCTCCCACACCCCTTGGCCATAAGGTGGCTGCTGGGGTTTTTATCACTTGTGCCTAGACCAAAATCCCTCTATGAGGAGGAGTGTTTCTCTTTAGAACCCTTTATTATCAAGCAGAAGGACCTTGCCCTACAGCCTTTGGCTGATTCTGCCCTTGGCCTCATTGTTCAGCACTGGACCTGTCTTCATGCAAAAAAATCTTGAAAATGCCTGGCTGGCAATTTCAGTCTATGACATGGGAACTGGGCACTGTTGGCCGGGAGGGAAGGGATCAGGGATGGAGCAGAGGTGAAAGTGGTTGCCATGGATTGCTACCTAGAAGCGAACAGCAGTTCAGACAAACAGGTGTTCCGTGTCTAAGGTTTAAGGCCCCAAATGTCTTCCAAGGGTGCATTGGCAGTGCAGGCACCTGGCTAGCTGTCTCAGGCTCGGGTAGCTAAGCAGTTAGGGACGTGTGTCATGTACTGTTTTCAGCCTCTGAGCAACTCCTGTGTTGCCCTTTTCCTCGACAACCAACCAGACACATCTGAAAGTTCTTTTTGGAGGATCCAGAGCTCTGAAGGATGGAAACTAAATCAAGATTAATTGGAGAAAACTTTTCTCAGCTCTCCCTACACAGATGGTTAAAGAGTGTTTCCTGACATCATCAGGCTTTGCTATTTTGGTGTTGCTACATAAGGAGTCTGAAGCTCTGGGATATGGTAGCAGATTGACATAGCAGAGTCTGGTTTCAGACATTTCTCTGGGCCTCTTCTTTGATGGGAATTTCCCTTTCAGAATGACATTTCCCATGGAGACAGACAGCTAGACTATGCATCTTGTGTCATTTGCCAGAATGTCCTGAGTGGGTTCACATCCGTGGTGGCAGAATGAAGTCACATTTATATTTAGTTCTCTACCATCCCTTGGATTCTTTCTGTGGGGAGGACTGTCCTTTTCCGTCAGTGATGTCACTGAGTTAATGCCCTGTCAGTTTCCTGAAAGGTAGCCCAGAATGCTGAGAGGATCAAGTGAAGCGACTGATTAATTGTGTGCAGAGATCACCCTAAAACCATTAGTGGTCTTTCCTTTCACATCCCATTCTTGAAACCCACAGCTGTAATCATGACGATTTTTCAGGTCCCTGCTCACCTCCTTCTTTCTCAGGTTATGTCATCTTTGTGAGCGAAAAACACTTCCAAATAAGGTCATCATCTGTGGATTACTGTGTCTCTTCATTTTTATCCACTGACCCAAAGTATGGTCAGTTGGATTGGAGTCTCTCTCAAGCGAAACAACTAGTCTCGTTTGGATGGGAAAGACTTTTTATTATGAGCTGGTTTGAAAAGTAGGAGGAAAGGGAACTTTGTACAGGGATAGTAACTTTTTTCTAACTGAAATGTGTGTGATTTTGACTTGTAGAAGATTACAGTAGCAGAATGCATCGAGACTCAGAGTAAAGCCATGACCATGCTCACCATCGAACAGTTATCCTACCTGCTCAAGTTTGCCATTCAGAAAATGAAACAGCCAGGGGTAAGAAGAAAGTTCCTCTTGGTATAAGTGTAAATGGAAAAGAGTGACTTTTGTTCTTCTCTGTTAACATTCTTGTTCTGAGTAGTCTTTGCTTTCCAGACACCTGTGCACACTCTTTGGGTCTTTTTATGTGCCTGGCTCAAATACCTAAAAATTAAATATAAAGTACAATTCCACTCAGTTAATTCTTCGTAGCGAGCACTGTATGTTCCCGACGAGTTTAATTGGGGAATGACATGCAGTAGAAAGTTGGTGGGGATTTAAAATTCTGATTGGTTGTGAAGTGAAACCTCATACCCAGAATTTTAAGGAGCTCCTGTGCTGCTTCCCTCGGGAGTTAGTAAATTCCATTTCAATGAGACCGTGGAGTACAGCCCGTTTTGTTGGTAATCAAAGTGTGGTGATGGAACCTCCAAGTGCAGTTCAACCAGTAAGACTCCCATAAAGGGTGAGATTCGATTCATTCCTTCAATTTTGAAATAGGATTTGATGGACAGCCTTCGCCTCTTAAAGGAAATCCAGATGAGAAAGTAAGGCTGCCACGTTTAGCTTGCACGCCCTGGTTCCTAGTGGTTACCCGCCCCAGAGTCCCGGGCACATCACAGTCATGGTGGTTTTAGTTTTTTTTTGGTGACCTTTTCTAGGAGGGTGACCGTAAAATGCCTCATTCTTAAAAAGAATATGGTGTGGCCATATAATCAACATGTTATGACATTCTTTGTGCAGACCAGTCTAGAGAAACTTTAAGGGTAGGGTTTTCCCTTTTCGATTTGCACAGAGGCACCATATGAGCTAGTGGTGACCCTTTGTTAAACTCTCCAGAGTCTGCTTTCTATGTCAAGGAAATATGCAGCCCTGTAGAACCTCCAGGGTTATCGAGTAGACACTGGCTTAATTTCTTAAAAAATACAAAACCAAAAAACAAAAACCATAAGCTTTTGTTTAGAGATTATATTCTGAAATTTGATACCATGAAAAAAATTCAGAGCATGCCAATTGGGTGTTGCTAAATCAGGAATCTATTTGTCTCTGTAACAAAATCTCCGTCAATGGAAGCAGAAGCATGGATAGCCTCAGTTTGGAAAGAAAAACAATTTTTTTTTAACTGCAGGTTTTTTTTTTTTTTTTTCATATTGAGTGACAAGGAATTACTTCCTGCTTTTGCATAGGCTAAATTATTTCTGCTGAGACTGTTGCACAAAAAAAAAAAACAAAACAGATTCATGTAGGGTTGTCAACACTGTAGACTTAAAAACCAAAGAGAAAAATCGAAGAAGGCCTTAATTTCTCACATAAATTGTTTGATATAAAATCAATCAGGGCAGAAAGTTACCGATGATGTCGAAGCATCTTTGTAACTTGCAGTGGCCACACACTGTCCTTCTGGGTAGAAGAGGGCTCCAGTGACAACAAGTGGTAGCCCTTTCAGATGCCTTGCTTGGCTGTCATTTGGTGTGTTTTTTTTTTTTTTTTTTTAATAAAGATTTTATTCATTTATTTGACAGACAGAGATCACAAGTAGGCAGAGGCAGGCAGAGAGAGGGGAAGGGAAGCAGGCTCCCCGCCAAGCAGAGAGCCCGATGTGGGGCTCGATCCCAGGACCCTGAGATCATGACCTGAGCCGAAGGCAGAGGCTTTAACCTACTGAGTCACCCAGGCGCCCTCATTTGGTGTTTAATTAAATATTTTAGATAGTGATTGATTTATTGACTGATTTTGAGATTTATTCTTAAGTAATCTCTACACCCAGTGTGAGATCGAGAGTCGCACGCTCTACCTAATGAGCTAGTCAGGTGCCCCAACTACAAATCTTGCAGATTTTTAAATATTGATGAGTAAAAACCATCCATCAACAAACTGGGCCTTGCACTTTGAGCTGATTCATGCAAGCATGGTGCAAAGTGAAAAATTTTGACATGGTCTCTGTGTTGAAGGTAATTGGCTTCTCAAAGGAGGAACAAAATCTCACTTGTCTGAATTTTCACCCCAAGTGTAAAATATCCGTTGGCACTTAGGGGGAACTTCATTAAGTGTGTTATCTCTGGGTATGGCCACGTTTTACTGTCCATTTGTTTTGGTTATGGGTGTTTGCAGGATATGGATAAGCCTTATTCAGAGTTCAGGTCTAAGTAGCTGATGGTGTGTTGTACTTGTCGATCTTCATAGAACAGAACTGGAACTGTTACTTGGATATATTTTGAAAATGATACAAATAACAAAGTAGGACCCCCCCCCCAATGATTATTGGTAACCAGGCAGAACTAGAAGCTGAACCAGCTTAGTACTCCCCAAGGTCCTTCTTTGTGGAAACCACTAGAATTGTATTGTCTGAAAAGTTGTCTTCATTTTGGAAGTACTTTTTACTATTAATGCTTTGTTTTCTACAGTAATGATGGGTTTGTGTCTCTCTCTGTGTGTGTGTGTGTGTGTGTGTGTGTCCATCTTTTCTTTTATAGACAGATGCATTCCAGAAGCCTGTTCCCTTGGAACAGCATCCTGACTATGCGGAATACATCTTCCATCCTATGGACCTTTGTACATTGGAAAAGGTTGGCCTCCATCAGAGAACCTCACCATTGTAGCCACAGTTACCGAGATGACTAAAGACCCTCCCTCACTTCTTGGGCCCAATCTCAAGTTAGATGGTTTCTCTGCCTTTCCTCCGTACCCTTTTGATTTGGATGGAAGAACTCTTGATCCCTTAACTTCTGTAACATTCTTCCAAGGATTGTAATGGAGTGTTGAATTCCACTGATTAGCTCCAAATATTACTTCTGCTGCTGGTTGTCTGAAAATTGACCTGAAAAAGTCACACTTCTACAAATCAGTGATTTGATTGATTTGAGCTTTACCTCCTCTTTTCTTTCTCTCAGAGGTGCTAATGAGGGCAGCAGGAAGGAGAAAAGAGAAAATTAAGTGTTTGGGAAACCTTCAGATTGCTGATAAAGATGTGGCTTCCTAGAACTTACTCTACTGTTATGGATATGTCTTTAATGTCTGAAGGTGCTTTTAAAAGTTCAGGCTACAATTCCATCCTGAAAATTACACTTGGAACACGTTAGATTGTGCATATCACCCTGGTGCTAATTTTCAAATTTTTGGCATGAAACACACGGGTAATGGAAAGCACGGATGAGGAGAACACCTTATATTGTCTTTTTTGCTGGCCCCCAAATGCTGAATGAAACCTGCTTTGAAAAATTGCACACACCCTCATGGTTTTCAAGAAAAGAAGGCATTCAAAAAAGGAAGGGTTGGAATCCTAGCTTCACAAATTAATAGCGTTGGAACTTTGCACAAGTTCCTTGGCATTCCCACACTTCAATATCCTTGTCTGTAACGTGGTGATGATAGTAAGTGTGTCATTGCATTCTTAGTCACAAGGCTTCTGTGAGGCTGTTAAAATGAATAAAAACCATGTCAGTTATTAAAATATCCCGGTTTCTTGAAAGGGGTTGCTTGATACATGACAGCTGCTGTAAGAGGAAACAATTCAGGTTAGCGATGAATTCAGGGACTTCATTTTTATGGAGTTCTAGATCTCAAATATAATAGCATCTTGGGAAATGGGTAAAAGCATTAATTAATTTGACAAATGACTGCTAAGAAAATGATGTGGGGACGCAGGTGTTAAGTGGTTGCGGCTTGTACAGACTGAGGGTTGTTACGCTCCTTGGCTTCTCTCCCCAGAACGCTAAAAAGAAAATGTATGGATGCACAGAGGCTTTCCTGGCTGATGCGAAATGGATTTTGCACAACTGCATCATTTACAATGGAGGTGGGTGGCTTAGGTCGCTGCTAAGAAAGACAGTGTTCATGCCGTGTGTGTTGCTCAGTCTCCCACCCTTCCTAAAAAAACCGTGTCCTTTTTTTCATGCGCCAGGGCCAAAAGCTGAGAATATTTGCGTATAGATCACTAATATGTGCGAATAGGGTATGGTGACTCTGTGCATTTTAAGGGATGAGCTGGTTTCCATCGTGGCTTGTGGCTGTAGGATAATTGCTGACTTTTTTAGAATCTTTGTTTTAATGGAGGAATAATTACCTAGAATAAAATGCAAAGATTTGGAGAGAACATTCTCTGAATTTGACAGACGTGTAACCACCTCAAATATAACTACAGCCTCAGATAAAATCTAGAATATTTCCATCACTCTATTCTAGTCCCACTTGTTCTTTACCAGTAAACTCACCCTCCTTGGTTTTTTATGTCCCTATAAGTAGTTTTACATCCTCTAGAATTTCATATAAATGGAGTCGTAGGGCATTCTTTGGGCTGATTGCATGCTATGTAATTTTTTTTTTTTTTTGGATTCATGCATGTTGTTGTGTGTATCCATTGTTTTATTTTTTTTTATTACCGTGAGTGGTTTTTCACTGTATCAACATACAATTTATTTAGCTATTCTGTTTGTGGATTTTGAAGGAGCATTGAGGTTATTTTCCAGCTTTGGGCTGTTGGGAATAAAGCCACTGAACATTCTTGTGCAAGTCTTTGTGTGGACATACGTTTTCATTTCTCATGGGTAAATCCTTAGGAATGGCAGTGCTGGCTCATTGAATAGGTTTCTATTTAAATTTACAAGATATTTTGGCAAACTTGGCGCAGAGTGGTTGTACCATTTTATACTCTTCTGGCCATGCATAGGAGAGTCTTAGTTGCTCTACATCCTTGTCTGCACTTGCTGTTGTCTGTTTATTTTAGCCATCCTTGGAAGCGTGAGCTGTTAGGTCACGTGGTGTTCATTTGCTGGTCCCTTAGGATTCATGGTATTGTGTATCTTTTCATGTGCTCATGAATCATTTGAATATCTCTTTTGGTAAAATAAGTATTCAGATCTTTTGTGTTCTTATTCTTGCATTTTAGAAGTTCTTTGTATTCTGGATAAAGTTGCGTCAGTTGCGTTTTTGTGGGTTGAGCCTTCTGGACAGAATGGATGAGGATTCCCATTAAAATCTTTTCTCAAGGCACCTTTTATATTGCCCTACCTTCTCCCATAGTCCTCTCTGTGTATCTTCTGGTCAGGTAGCTCGTTCAGTGCCCTTTTCCATTCTGTTCCTCTTATTTCCTGTTAGAACGCTCTTCCTTGATGACTTTTTCTTATCCTTCAGTGTCAGCCTGTCAGTCCTCTGAGGAGCCATCCCTTATGGACTGAGACCATACTCGGTGCTCTTGTTAGGAGATCTCACAGTACCTGTACTTGCCCATGGTAGCATTTATCACACTTCCTGGATGGTGGTAATTTAATTTGTTTGAGTTCCTTACCAGGATGTTAAGTTTTTTGGTTGTAAGATCTTGAAGAGCACAGCCCTGTCTTCTTCCTGTATGGTCCTAGTGTTGATTGTTTTCTGATGTGTAAGGGAAGAGGTTTCTGATGTGTAAGGAAAATCTGCTCAAAGCACAGGGTCTGTATTATTAGCTCAGTAGTGGGGCTCGCGGTGTGGGGAGGGGAAAAAGAGGCACATGGTTTAGAATTCATGTAAGCAGTATTAAATATGTAAAAAGGCTGGTAAGGTCACATAAACAAGTGAATGAGATTAGGTGGCAGAAAAACAGCAGCATGAGCCAGGATGGCCATTGGCGGAGGGGAGAACCAGAGACTGAAGAACTAGGGGCATGGACTGCTACCTGGTCTGAAGGGCTCACCCCTGGACACCCCAGTGGTTTTTGGATACAGAATTATAGATCTTCTGAGTTTTCAAATCAAGCCGGAAATCTAGGGATGGGTGTGTGTATGTTTGTGTGTAAAATTTTTTTGCCAAGAAATTAACAATGTGTGGAAAGCATGGCGTTTTGGCTGTCTTATCTTCCTTATCTTGGCTATCCTGAGTTAGCTCTGGGGACAGATTTTCAACTCATTAGCTAAGTAGTCTTGGGTAAGCAATGACACTTGAGCTTTGGCTTAATCATTAATGAAATGGGAACATTCTTACCTGCTTCTTAGCATGGGTTCTTGAGGAGTTAATAAGAACATGTATTTCGAAGCACGTGGCACAGCAAAGCTACTCAATTATTTTCCTTCTCCTGTTACCCTTCATGGGATGGAGTCTGGAAAAATGGGTGAATGAGGCTCCTTTCCACTAATTGGGGCCTTTGAAATGTGAAAGCATTTTCCAAATACTAACCTGTGAGCCCGGTTTCAGAGATGACTTGGAGGCCCCTAAGATAGGTCAGTGTTTAGGGGAGAAGTCACATAATTTGAACCAATATCAGGAGCCAGAATCTTCTGGTTTTTAGCCTTCGAAGCTTAATCCTGGGGGAAAGCAAGTTGAAAGGTGGTTTGTTAGTGGAAGTGTAATCCCATGGTTGGGTGTTAATACTTTTGTTTCCATTTGAATTAATCATGTTTTCTTATCCCCTTAGGAAATCACAAATTGACACAGATAGCAAAAGTAGTCATCAAAATCTGTGAACATGAGGTATGTGTTTCTCACCATCCAATTTTTTAAAGAAGATTTTATTTATTTATTTGACAGACAGATCACAAGAGGCCAAGAGGCAGGCAGAGAGAGAGAGAGAGAGAGGGAAGCAGGCTCCCTGCTGAGCAGAGAGCCCAATTCGGGGCTCCATCCCAGGGTCCTGGGACTGCGACCTGAGCCAAAGGCAGAGGCTTTAACACACTGAGCCACCCAGGTGCCCCAAGCCTAGGCTTTTAATCAGTGGGTTGCCCTGAGGTCAAATTTACTGAACCCAGATACTCTTTATCTGGCATTTTTGAATCTACCTATTGGCAATACATTGCCACTGTGTGGGCTCCAAAGCCAGGGCTGTCCTCGACCTGATTCACCCAGTACCTTTGGAATAGCGCACAAGTAGAGTGAGTAGAGGAGGAACTATATGCCGTCATTCATTCATTCATATATTCTCCTGTTCTTTTATGCAGTCATTTACTCAACCTTTAAGTTAGTCAATTATAGTTACAACATTACAGTTATAATTTATTGAGCACCTGCTGTGCATCTGGCACTTCTGTGATATAGGGATAAAGAGGAAAACAAGTCTGATGATGGGACAACGTTAGCAACATGCAGAGCAGTGGTGAACCACCTCCGCTTGGGCCTTGCCAGTTTGCTGCAGTGAGACCTTGGGCAGGTGTCCTGACTTTCTGGGGCTTCCTTTTCTCCACCTGTCACATGGGGGTAACAGCAGTCTTGCCTTCAAAGGGGGGTGTGAGGAATTTGTGCATTGGCACCTGTAGAACCCTTTGGTGATCCTGACAGATCTCTGATCAGTGTTAACTGATGTGCTGATGACTGTGTCACTTGAAGTGCTTTACATTTACGTCCTGTAATTGTTAGAATCTGTTTGGTAGCGATACCTCGCATCCCCATTCTGTCCATGAGGAAATGGGAAGGAGATGGAGGCTCCGACAAGATAAACAGCTGTTCTTAAAATGACAGAGCTGGGAAATGGTAGATTTTGAATTGTGATCCCAGAAAGGGGCTCCTGGGGCCCTTGGTTCTAAGTCAGACTTAGATATCTATTTTAGGGGAATGTACCTTTTTTTTTCTTTTTAAAGTTTTTATTATTTATTTGAAAGGGAGATAGCGAGAGAGGTAACACAGGTTGGGGGGTGGGAGAGGGAGAAGCAGGCTTCCTGCCTAGCAGGCAGCCCGATGTAGGGCTGGATCCCAGGACTCTGGGATCATGACCTGAGCCATAGGCAAATGCTCAATGACTGACCTAGCCCCCAGGTGCTTCTAGGGGAATGTACTTTTTCAAGAGGGAGAAGGACGGTCCCCAAACTACAGAATTTCATATTGTCATAAGTGGCGATAAAAAGGGCAGTATGGTATTCACCACCTGCCCTGGATGGTGCGGTTGGAGATGTGTGGGAATCAAGCACAGTGAGCAGTGGCCAGAGCCGTGGCTGGAGGTGGTTGGGGAGCTCAGGAGGGCCAAGGCCTGGTCACACTTGGCATTGACCAAGCTCATCAGGAGTTTAGATTTCCTTGTTAGTTTCTCAGCCTTGTACTACTGACATTTAGGCTGGGGACTGCAGTGGGCACAAAAGTAGCTGATTCAGACGTGGTCCGGAGAGAGAGGAGGTGGTAGTGTTGGTGGCGTGGGCTAGGTGAAGCATGGGGGTTGGTGGGAGGTGGTTGCACTCCTGTGGAAGGTGTTCCCCACTGTGGGACCTGGTTTAGCTGACCTTAACCTTAACTGCTGACACCAGCATGCATTCCTTGATGGCCTCCAGATGTGAGGCCCCTGGGATGACACATGCTAACATATTTTTCCTTTACAGATGAATGAAATTGAAGTATGTCCGGAGTGTTACTTAGCTGCTTGCCAAAAACGAGACAACTGGTTTTGTGAGCCTTGTGTAAGTTGCACTTCTTTTCCTTACTTCATTTTCTGAGCCCCAGGCCTTACATGGCTACCCAAGGCCACTTTGTCCAGGCGGTTTATTTGGTGAAACTTCGGGTGAAGTTTTTTTAAATGATTTTTTTTTTTTTTTTAGTGATAAAGTTATGGCAGAATGAAAGTAATCTAGATAGAATAAACCTCTGGGGCTGAAAATTCACGTGCCGAAGGGAGCGTTGTGATTTCCTGGGTTTATTAACCCCGGGCCGACTGTAGGCTAGAGGAGCTCATTAGGGAGGGGGCGCCCCCATGGTAATGCAGATAGCGGAGGAGAGTTTGGTGAGTGTGTTCTTTCTGGTCTGTGTTGGAAGGTTTGGAAATACCTCTCTGCATTGACTCGCATGGTCTCTCAAACTTGGTGGTTTGGGCTGGGAGCCGGGAGAGAAACATCACCCAGTTTTCCTCATGGATCTGTATTTTCCAGACTGGTGTTCCGCAGAGAGAAGTGTGTTCTTGGGGTGGGCTTGTGGGAGGGTGGGAGGAGGTAGGGGTGGAGGTTACTGGGGGGCAAGATTAGGCAAGTAAAGTGGAAAAGTAGAACATGGTTTATGGCTCTTCCTGCCTTTGGAAATAAACAGCTGCATAGTTAATGCTCTGGGCAGCCTCGGTGAAGGACAAGGGTAGCTAATTCTACCCCTTGTTACCTGCCACATACAATGCACATTTAATCCCCCAACCTAACAGAAGGTGCTGGCATTGCTGTCCCCAGTTGCAGGAGAAGGTGGTCACTCTTCTTGCTCATGGCCACCTGGGTAACAGCATTAGAGTCAAGGTCCAAGCCTGGTCTCCTCTGTGTTTCGTCATTCTGTTTGTCATTTGCCCCCAGAACCAGCTTTGCCTGGGGCTTCCTGGCCTCACGCCTTCCTAGGGAATCCTACCTGGGAGACCCTGCCTGGAACTTGACTCGTTCAGTTGGTGGCCTTGCTGTATCCTCTTGCGCCAAGCTTTATATGTGTGTCCTGCTGTCAAATACATACAAACTCTGGATTTTTTTCTTTTTCTAGAGCAATCCACATCCTTTGGTCTGGGCAAAACTGAAGGGGTTTCCATTCTGGCCTGCAAAAGCTCTGAGGGATAAAGATGGGCAGGTTGATGCTCGTTTCTTTGGACAACATGACAGGTGGGAGTGCAAACCGTCTGCAAAAGTGTAACTTGAACCGAACCTTTGATACTGTCATGGATGCGAGGGGTCCAGGTTTTATTATGTTGTTTATTGTTATGACGTCAACCAGTGATCTTATGGTTAAAAGTACAGTCCTGTGCTGGGTTAAGCCTGATAATGTGTGGGCTTCCGTGTTTTCAGGTATGTTTAAGAGAAGCTTGCTTTTGTAGTTTTGTTGATGAAAATGGCACCGTGGCTATTTTAAGTGCTGCTGTTCTTTTTTGGATTTTCTAGAGTTAATTAAACTGCCATGCAAATTGCTTTTTTAAAATAATGCTTTCAGAGATCAGAAGTATTTCCCCAGATTGCCAGTAAATGAATCTCTTTATCATTGTGCTGGGTGGTTCCCTCCTGTTGCCTTTTCTCTGAAGCTAAGATAGGAAATTGCAAGAGGTGGCTGTTTTCACAGGTGGGAGCGCTCCCTGCCAGCCTGTCTACCCTCCTCTTTCCTTTGCTCACAGGGAAGTGAATTGTCCTAGCTCCTAGCAGATCCCACTCCTGCATGCTTGAGAACAACAGGTAGACCCAGACGAGCAGTGGTTAATATCTCTGGTTTTTTTTTTTTGGCAAGCTGTGTTGTGATTAAACGAGGCAAAAACCTTTTGAAGCCTTACCAAGCAGTTTGAAAAGTGTTTTGAGTGTGTTGGGGAGAATACTTAAAATACATACCCTAAAAATTATATATACCCACAGAATATACAGAAAATACAGTGTATAATTTCAAACACCAGAATCTGAGCTGTTACTCTGTTTAGTTTTGCTTGTTGTCTTGCAAATACAAAACGAAAGACTGAGTTTTGCTAGAAACCCATTGTCTGGAGGCAAGATGGGAATTCGCCGAGATGGTCCTGGGTTCGATAGGAAGTATTTTGCTTTGTCTGATTTTTGACCACTTTACTGGAAGTCTTTCGGTGTCTGCTGTGGGCCAGGCCATGGGCTGGATGCTGGGGATGTGGGAGTGAGCGGGCAGGCACTGTCCCCGACTGTCTGAAGATGGCATCCTAGGAGGGAAGATAGATAATACACAAGTAAACACACAGGCGAGATGATCTTGGATCAGGAGGTAATGGCCGGGGCTTAGTGAGGGTCTGGGTGGAGGGACAGGCAGAGCCAGCCTGCTGTGCTTGGGAAAATCAGGAGCATGGGACCGGGGGAGGGAGGAGAGGCTGGTCAGAGATGGATGGGGGAAGGCACAGGGCCTGATCACAAAAGCTGTGGTCAGAGTCTGCCTTTTCTTTGAAGAGCAAGAGAAATTAGTATCAGGTTGCGTGTCTTCCTGCTGCTTCATTATAGCATGGCAAGTGTTAACCGTCTTGATGATTCGGGATTATTCTCGTTTGCTAATATGACCCAGTGTGGATATATTTAGGATATAGGTGGGTGGGGGAAATCAGTGCTTGCCCCCATGCACCAAATATTCTTAGACTCTTAGCATCTTTGATTCTGCTGTCAGCTTAGCCCATTCTGCATAGACTTCTTCGTCTTGCCTGTCAGACAGCTATTGAAGGTGGCTTAGGGGACGGGAACTCTGCTAGCCCTCGTCCAGAGTCATTTCCCTTGAACTTGCTGGTGTAGGTTGGTTCTGGGTAGGAGCTGTCATGGAAGCTGACCGCCGCCCCACCTTATGTTTGTGAAAAAAGACAGCAACCCAAGTCTGATGTCCCTGAGGTTTGCCTAACCCTCTTGGTGTCTCATGCTCCCTTGGAATGTGCCGAACTTCGAACTCTGTTGGCTCCTTTAGGGGGATGGGAGCCCCTGGAAGAGGTTAAGGACACTTTACGGCAGTGGGCAATAGGTGCTGGAGTAACAGAACCTTGGAGTTCTGGGAATGAGGCTCCCGAAGTCCTTCCTCCCAGGAGACGTTCTTAAAGCAGAGCTGGTCAGACCCAGTAGCACAGCGTGGAGGCTAAGGAGATGGGAGATGCCGTCCCTTTGTCAGGGAGCACGTTTGGGGTTGTGGAGCAGAAAGTAAGCCTGGAAACGTGTACGCCACATTGGCGAGGCAGGCAGAATGAGAGATGGCGCAGCCTGCCACGCGTTTGTCGTCTAGTTATTAAATACTAGAGCGAGCCCGGGGAGCTGCTCACACAGAACAAGGCATGTTCTGGAGAATCTCATCGTGTGCTTTTTGTCCTTCAAAAATTTTTGCTCTTTGGGGGTTTGATTTTGTAGACACACACACACACACACACACACACACACACACACACGATCCCATATAGCAATCCAGGAAATGTTTTATCAAACGCCTGTGGAGCCGCAGAAGAGGGAGCTGGCAGGAAGTGAGTGCCTTCTCTGCAGCAGGGCATTGTTCTAAGTGCTTTTTTGCAGAAGCCGCTTTATTCTCATTTTACTGAGAAGAAAACCGGAGGCCCGAGTAGGGAGTAGCTCAGCTGTGTGACTCTGGGGCCTTTCCTGACATTGCCCCCAGAGGCTTTATTTTTGTTAAGCAAATCTAAGTTCCCTTTAACTCTGTCCTGGGCCTGCTCTAAGGAAAGGGAATGCTTTCCTGAAATCACTTGGCGGAGACCCCTGTGGAAGGCAGTGGAGAACCCGGCCCCAGGCGGAGGTGTGCGGGGAGCACAGTTGCAGTGGCCAGCTGCCTGGTGGGCTGCCTGGTGGGCTACTGGGGCTCTGGGGATTGGCTGAGGTGCATTTCATTTGCTCCCCACAACCCCGCTCCACGTAGGGGATCATCCTCTCTCCTACTGACAACCGAGCTGAGGCCAGCTCAGGGAAGGGGCGTCGTTTGTCCAGGGGGCAGCTGGGGGATCCTGGCTGCTGCTCAGAGCCGTCCTGTCTAGTCCAGACTCCTGCTCACCCAGTTGGAACAGCCACACTGTCTCACCCAGAGGGCATCTGGCTCCCACTCTGTCTGCTTCGCTCTTTCTGGCTGCAGATGTGCGTCCTCAGGTCTCTGCGGGATGACGGCAGCGAGCTGGGGTGGAGGAGAAGCTGGTAATTTCCAGCACGCTGAGAGAGCAGTTAGATATTTTTGGGGTGTTCGGTTTTAGTTTGTGTCACGATCTAGTTATCATCGGGAGTGGCAAACCTCCCCAGCCTGTGCTCTGAATTCCACTGCAACCACATACTTGATTTTTCCTGGGCTGCTTTCTCTTCAAAATAGGAATGAGATGGCAGCTGCTAAGACTTGGGTAGAATATAATAAAAGCGGTCCGTATTTGTTGCTTCTCTTTAAAATGCTGGGAGGCGGGGTGCCTGTGGGTTAAACCCTCTGCCTTTGGCTCAGGTCATGGTCTCAGGATCCTGGGATTGAGCCCTGAATCGGGCTCTCTGCTCAGCGGGGAGCCTGCTTCCTCATCTCTCTCTGCCTGCCTCTCTGCCTGCTCGTCTGTCAAATAAATAAATAAAATCTTAAAAAAAAAGCTGGGAGGCTCCGCAGCGAGGGGTCGAGATCCCTGCACAGCCACCCGTGAGGTGCTCGCATAGACCGTGTGTTACACTGGTCTGTCCCCCCACCATCCGTTTCGCTCCCCACTGCTTTGTGTCCGGCTTGAGTTTATGGTCTGCGAAATCCAAAAGGCTTCCTCGGAACAAGCTCATTTGCACCAAATTCCCAGCTACATACTGGTTTGGGTTCGAGGCTGGGGAATCAAATGTCACACGGTCTGTCCTGTTCACGTTCGGGCTCCACGTCCGCCCAGAGCAGTGGTAGGTTACACTGCCATGTCTTGCCTGCGGTAGCTCGGCCACTAATTCCAGAAAAGCAGCTTTTCTCGTGAAGGTGCTGCAGAGTGTCCTGGGTGGTGGTGGGGGCTGAAGGCAGGAAGATAAAACCAGCTGGGAATGGGAGGTGGAGGGTGTTTTTTTTTTTTTTTTTGTTTTTTTTTTTTTTTTGGTTTGTTTGTTTGTTTTTTTCCACATGAGATACCTGCTGTTTGAAGCCAGGGGCCTCCTTTCAGGTTTATGGTTTTCTAGCATTTCCTTCTGGTGCCACATAGAACCCCAGAATCCCTTACCAGAGATAGGAAAGCTCTTCATGTTTGAGCGTAGAGCAGTGCCCTTCGGGACTGATTCCATGTTAGGAGGTGCGGTCCTGAATGCAGGGCCTGTTTCCTTTCTTTTTTCTTTTTTTTTTTTTTTTTAATATTTTATTTATTTATTTGAGAGAGAGCATGAGCGAGGAGAAGGTAAGAGAGAGAAGCAGACTCCCCGTGGAGCTGGGAGCCGGATGTGGGACTCGATCCTGAGACTCCAGGATCATGACCTGAGCCGAAGGCAGTCGTCCAACCAACTGAGCCACCCAGGCATCCCTCCTTTCTTTTTTTTAAAAGATACACTTAGAGATCATGTGGTGTAGGGAGTGGGAGAGAGAATCCAAGCAGATTCTGCACTGAGTGTGGAGCCCAACATGGGGCTCATTCTCACGACTCTGAGATCATGACCTGAGCCAAAACCAAGAGTGAGAGGTGCTCAATGGATTGTGCCACTTAGGTGCCCCAAAACATTTCTTCTAATTCTTCTTCTTTCCTTTTTTTTTTTTTTTTTTGAGAGAGAGTACGCATGGCAGGGTAGGGAACAGGCAGAGGGAGAGGAAGAGACTCTTAATGCAGTCTCCACGCCCAGTACGGGGCCTGACGCAGGGCATGATCTCACAACCCTGAGATCATGACCTGAGCCAAAACCAAGAGGCAGGCACGTAACCAACTGAGCCCCCCAGGTGCCTGCAGTGACTTTTTCTTACTTTCTACTCCCCCCAAAGCCAAAGGGATTTATTAATTTTTTTTTTTTTTAAAGATTTTATTTATTTATTTGACAGACAGAAATCACAAGTAGACAGAGAGGCAGAGAGAGAGAGGAGGAAGCAGGCTTCCCGCTGAGCAGAGAGCCCGATGCGGGGCTCGATCCCAGGACCCTGAGATCATGACCTGAGCTGAAGGCAGAGGCTTTAACCCACTGAGCCACCCAGGCGCCCCTATTAATTTTTTAATGGATGAAAATGACTACAGCTGGGAATCTTTCAATGATTTCACCAAGTTTGGTATTGGTATTCTGTTCTTATGACAGAACATGCACCATTGAAACCAAGTCATTTTTAAAGATTTTATTTATTTATTTGACAGAGAGAGATCACAAGCAGGCAGAGAGTCAGGCAGAGAGAGAGGGGGAAACAGGCTCCCTGCTGAGCAGAGAGCCCGATGTGGGGCTCGATCCCAGGACCCTGGGATCATGACCTGAGCTGAAGGTAGAGGCTGTAACCCACTGAGCCACCCAGGCCCGAAACCAAGTCCTTTTTTTAAAGAATATACATATTTAAGAATCTTGGCAAAAACAAAAACAAAATACCCAAAAAGAAAGAAAGAAAAAGAACCTTGACCAACATACCAGGCTAATTTGGTTTGCATTAAGGAGAAAATAGTTCTGGAAACAACCTAAATGTCCATTGACAGATGAACAGATAAAGAAGTCATGGCATGTACATATCAGGGTTTCGTTCCTATTCAGCCTTAAAAAAAGATGGGACAGCATAGCTGAACCTGGAGGATATTGTGCTAAGTGCGATAAGCCAGTCACAGGAAGACAAATACTGCGTGAATTCCACTTATAGGAGGTTATCTCCTAAAATAGTCAAATTCACAGAATCAAAGGATGGAATGGTAGTTTGCCAGGAGTGGGGGTCGGGAAAAGGGGGTTTACTAATCATCAGGCATAAAATTTCAGTTATGACTAATAGGCTGTAGAGATCAACAGTGTAACCTGTGCCCAACACTTACACATACCCCGATACAGTGCATTTAAAAAAAAAGAAAAAGGAAAGAGGAAATCTCTGAAAAGACCAAAGTTGACTTCAACTCTCCTTTCTTTTCTACACTCCTAGGGCCTGGGTTCCAATAAATAATTGCTACCTCATGTCTAAAGAAATTCCTTTTTCTGTGAAAAAGACGAAAAGCATCTTCAACAGTGCAATGCAAGAGATGGAGGTGTACGTGGAGAACATCCGTAGGAAGTTCGGGGTCTTTAACTACTCTCCCTTCAGGACGCCCTACACCCCCAACAGCCAGTACCAAATGCTGCTCGACCCCAGCAACCCCAGCGCCGGAGCCGCCAAGATCGACAAGCAGGAGAAGGTCAAGCTCAACTTCGACATGACGGCGTCCCCCAAGATCCTGATGAGCAAGCCCATGCTGAGTGGGGGCGCAGGCCGCAGGATCTCCCTGTCGGATATGCCCCGCTCCCCCATGAGTACGAACTCTTCTGTGCACACGGGCTCTGACGTGGAGCAGGACGCTGAGAAGAAGGCCACCTCGAGCCACTTTAGTGCCAGTGAGGAGTCCATGGACTTCCTGGACAAGAGCACAGGTCAGCCTGGGGTGGGAGATGGGGAGGAGGAGGCCCCTGGGACATGGGGCTTCCGTGGGGGCCACACCTGTTGGGTTCCAGCTGGCCACCGCCCCTGCTCGAGAGGGAGCTCTATGGGATTTTGCTCCATTTGAGTGTATTTACAATTTTAACAAGGTAACCCAGGGGGATTCTTGCTGTTAGGAATCAGGAAAGGAGAGAAGGGGTCCCTCCAGGGCAGATGGAGGTCATTCCTAGCAGTGGGCAGAGGTGACCAGTAATCCCTCAGCAGTCCGGTCACGTGGCTCCTGGATCATCACAGCAAAACTTCCCGTAACAGTTTGTTTCTCAAGAATGTAATTTTTTTTTTAAGATTTTATTTATTTATTTGACAGATCACAAGTAGGCATAGAGGCAGGCAGAGAGAGAAGAGGTAGCAGGCCTGATACGGGGCTCGATCCCAGGACCCTGGGATCATGACCTGAGCCAAAGGCAAAGGCTTTAACCCACTGAGCCACCCAGGCGCCCCTCAAGAATGTAATTTTAATCGGAAGATTATCTGTACAGATTACACCTTCCCATTGTGTAGTGCTCAAATATTAGCACAGGGTGTAAGGTCAGCAATAATGTCCTCTCCCCGGAGCACGCCCACTCCTCAAATATAAGGTCGTCCTGGTTATACTCACTGCAGAGATAGTGGTGAAGAATGAGGATGCTGGTCTCATACCCCAGCTCTGCCACTCACAGCCCACGCGGCTTCAGGCAAGATACTTAATGTCGTTGTCGTCTTTTTTTTTTTTCTTTAAAGATTTTATTTATTTATTAGAGATCACAAGTAAGTAGAGAGAGAGAGAGAGAGAGAAGAGGAAGCAGGCTTCCTGCTGACCAGACAGCCCGACTTGGAGCTCGATCCCAGGACCCTGAGATCATGACCTGAGCCGAAGGCAGAGGCTTTAACCCACTGAGCCACCCGGGCGCCCCTTAATGTCTTCTTTAAAAAAGATTTTGTGTATTTATTTATTTATTTGACAAAGAGAGACATAGAGAGAGGGAACAGAAGCAGGGGGACTGGGAGAGGGAGAAGCAGGCTTCCCGCTGAGCAGAGTACCTGATGTGGGGCTCAATCTCAGGACCCTGGTATCATGACCCGTGCCGAAGGCAGACACTCGACGACTGAGCCACCCAGGAGCCTGAGGATTTTACTTCCTTAATTTAGAGAGAGAGAGAGAGAGAGTGCCCGCATGAGTGCGGTAAGGGGGGAGAGGGAGAGAGAGAACCGCAAGCAGACTCCTGCTGAACATGGAGCCGGGGGCGGGGCCCCATGCCACGACCCCAAGATCATGACCTGAACTGAAATCAAGAGACGAGTGCTCAGCTAGCTGAGTCACCTGGCACCCCAAGTTAGTAAATGTCTTGATGTTCCGTCTCATTTGTAAGTGATCTAGGAATGGACCTGCCTCATAGGTTCTCGTTAAGGGTTAAAGGAAGGCTCGTACACAGAACTCTCAGAACAGTGCCTAAAATAGTAAATGCTCCAAAGATGTGGGCTGCTGTCTTATTTCTTGTGGGGCTTGCTCAGCGAATGCCTACACGGATTCAGAGAGTTGACAAACAGGAGGGATGCTGTCCGAGTGTGAGGGAAGGAACGGTGACTTAAATGGAATTCCTTCTACCTAGCTGTTACCTGGTTGCGCGTCCAGTCCTTACGAACTATATTATTTCCACAAGGAAATCGGTTTACTCTCATGCTGAAACATGGCCTTCACTGTTCATTCCTTGTGGGTCTGGTTCAGAGAGACATGGGCACAGAGAGGTTTCTACACTGAGCATGATGGTAAAACGGCAGCCAACCCTCAGGCTCTGGACTGGGGAAACTGGGCGAGGGGGCAGGACCTGGTGAACCCCTGGACCCATGCCCCCCGCTTGAGGGCTTCAGCCCGTGGTTGTCATAGAGGAATGTGGCCTCTTGGTTTTCTGATCTTCTCATTATTCCAGAGAAGTGGGTAATTTGCATTTTTATATAAAACCCCCAATTATTAAATGTCTGCTCAAAATGTCTTAGGATGTTTTCCAGATTGAAGAAGGCACATCTATAGACTGAACCATGAGTTTTAGGTTTCTGACCAATGTTTTAAGCTTGGATAGCCCTTCAGACCTCCTCCCTCCCCGTCCCCCTTCCTTTTTCCTTCATCCCTCCCTCCCTCCCTCCTTACCTTTACGTAAGAACTCTTTAGGGAGCAGACACCCGATCTTCAAGAGACTGCAAAGGTCCTCCAGAGTACCCAGAAGGTAAAACGATGGCGATTCAGTCAAGGGAGCTCAAGGAATTCCACCCATTTTGGTTGTGGTGTTTCTTGTTCCTGGTAGATTGGTAATTTTCAAGTACTGCTTGTAGTTCCCAGAATGGCTGTAGGTAGAGAGTTAAGTGCCAGTGGTTTTTGGTTCTTCTAAATAAAGGCTACGACCTCTTTCCCCAGTTCTGACCCTAGCTGCGGGGTCCTAGGCACTCAGTTGCATTCCAGAGCTTTGTTCTAGGACGATGCAACTTCTGCTGACATACTTTTGGAACAGAAATTTGCTTTTGCCTCTCAGTTTCGGTCCGGAGTTCTTAAAAGCTTACTTTCATTACATGACATGATTCCATTTAAGCCAAGCTGACAAAACACCAGCTTCCCAGCCTGTTACCTCTCCTAGAGAGCTTGCCTTTTTTTTTTTTTTTTTAAAAAATAAAGACTTTATTTACTTATTTGACAGAGAGGGAGAGATCACAACTAAGCCGATGTGGGGTTCGATCCCAGGACCCTGCAATCATGACCTGAGCTGAAGGCAGCGGCTTAACCCATTGAGCCACCCAGAGGCCCCGAGAGCTTGCTTTTGAGAAAGTGTTCTAATGGGGCAGCAGTCCTGTTGAATCACTGTTGTCTGAACTTTGATCAGCATCAGCTTTGCCATATGCTAGTTCCTCTGTTTTAACTATGGACTTAAACATTAAACCTGCCACATTGCTTTATCCTAAGCTGAATAATATGTATCAACTCATGTATTTAAATTGCTTGTTGCATTTTTTTCTCTAATAGAAACGAAATTAATACCTAACTTGTGAAATAGAACATGTTGGTCTATGAACCGCTGTTGGCTATCCTGTTCCATATTTCAGGAAACACAGTTTTAGAGGAATCTGAGAGCATGTGTAATGTATTTAATTAAGCTTCTCTCTTTCCCCGGGACATAGCAAGATTGAACTGGCATTAGAATTCCTGACAGAATTCCTCGCTATTCAGATGGCTTTTCTAAGCGGTAAATGAGATTCTCCATTTCAGCAGACTTTAAGGTCCCTTTCCTAAAATATGGTCCCCTGGCCAGCATGTGCTTGGATTATTTTGCTAATTACGAGATAGACAGCCATTGAGTGTTGTGGGTAGAGAAGGCAGTACTCCAAATCATTTAAATCTTAAAGATTGTTCCCTTTTTTGTAAGGAGCCAGATAGTAAATATTTTAGGCTTTGTGGGTCTCTGTCACAACGATGCAACTATTTCAACACCGTCGTTGTGTTAGTGAAACAGCCCCAGGCAGTGTGTGGCTGTGTCACTGAAATTTGACTTTCATATTAAGTGTGTGTTTCATGAACTGTAAATCCTTTAGGTTTCTTCCAGCCATTGACAAATGGTAAATATCCCTGCAGGCTATAGAGGGACAGGTTGTTAGGCTAGATTTGGCCTCCAGGTTGGTTTGCCAGCCTCTATGACGGACTCAGTTAGAAGGCACTGTGAGTTAGTCTCCCCATCTTACAGAAGGCCAGTTGAGGTCCCTGTGGATGGTGGAGGGAGGAGCTTGTGTTCCCACAGCCTGACCTGATTCTAGATCCATTTTCTTTTTCATTGCACCCCAGTGCCCTCTGCTGTTAGCAGCGACGGTAGCATTTTCAGGAAGGAGAAGTGGACTATTGGTTGAAATCCCCCTGAGTCACGGAGAGTATAATTGACATGAGATTGTGATTTATCCAAAATTAGGTAAAAAAAAAAAAAAGATGGTCATAGGATAGATAGAAAAGCCATACTCGTTTCAGCAATTAGGATTATGTAGCCGGCAATATAAGACCACACATTGAAATAAGTAAGTTATTAAATAAAACTGTCATGAGCGTTTAGAAGGTTTCCTTTTTGTTTTGGGGGTGGGGGAATCGAGGAACTTAGAATCAGGTGTCTGTAACCCACAGAACTCAGTTTTGTTTTCTAAGGAGAAGTTTGCTTAGCGAGAAGCCTTTCCTGGTGTCCTGGTTACTGGGCAGAGTGGTTTATACTCTCAGTAATTTTCCTGCTTCCCCCTTGATCTAGACCACTTGGCCAGAACTGATGCCTTTGCCAAATGGGCCTGCAGGATCCTGACTTAAGTCATGAATATGTATTAGGGTAAGAGTCCCAGTGCCTGGCTGTCCTCACTCTCTGTAGCTCCACTATGGGTTACTGTTCAGGAAGAACATATATACTCTTTTCTTGTGAAGACATACTTGTCACACAGTAATGGTTATCTAAGATGAAAGTCACAGATCACCCTACCTCCCAGTCAAGCCCTTAGAGAATGTTTTCAGGACTTTTTCTGTGTTGGTTTATGAGTCATGCGATGATGTTGAAAACTCAGATACTTTCAGGGATCAGCAAGTATGGGAATGAGCAGGGTTGGGAAGTGTTAGGGACTGGGATGAACTCTCTGTAGTAGGAAGTTGCTTCCTTCCTCATGACCCATCACATGAGGGTGGGTGTTTGTTCTTACTTCTTCTTCTTTAAAAAAAAAAAAATAAAAATATTTATTTATTTGACCGGGATGGTGGGGGGAGAGAGAGAGAGAGAGAGAGAGAGATCACAAGTAGGCAGAGAGGCAGGTGGGGGGTGTGGGTGTGGGACTCAGGCTACCCGCCTAGCAGAGAGCCCAATGCAGGCTCGATCCCAGGACCCTGAGATTATGACCCGAGCTGAAGGCAGTTGCCCATTGACGGAGCCATCCAAGCACCCCCGGCCCCAAC